TGATTTGATAAACGGAATAAATAATAACGGTAATAACAATAATGGTAACAACAGGACCACTTAGGCTAACGCTCTGAGCATTCAGTGTTAGTGGTGCTACTCGAATGCCGAGAAGAAAAACCGAGATTCTATTACATCCGCGGAAATAATCTTTTCTTGTTCTGTGCATGGCGAGCTTGCCTAAAAAAGTTGTTCCAGGTATTCTAAATGGGTTTGACAATGTTATTTGTGGTTCTTCGTCTATGTAGGTCGCAAATTTTTCAGCTGTACTGGATAATGCTCATCTCATGGTGACGAACCAACTGCCGATCCTAACGAACATTTCGCCTCCCGAGAAGATACTTTCACTTTACACCAATAAAACTGAATTCGTTTAGAATTTCTGAACTGTTTTCTGAATTGACAAGAACGGTTGAATGTCGGAAGTCTGGAAGAATTCTTTTTTTCTCAATTTTAGCCGGACGGTGCGTGTCGTCATACCTACACACCTGAAAACTTGAGCAGCTGTATGTCATCGACGTTCGTTGGCACGCCATCGATGCAGTTGGCAACTTCTAGCTTTTCAAATCCTCAAGTTAGCGCCTTACCCGAAAAAAATTTTAGCAGGCTCGTACGGGGGTACTCCGCGTATATCCGTCGGCTGGTTTGGACTCATTAATACCCAATTGAATGGGGAACATCCCCTTAAAAATCCAATCCTCTAGTTTTTTCAAATTCTCGAGTTAGCAATTTACCTGAAAAAACTTTGGCGGGCCTGCACGTGGGTACCACGCATACCTGAGAGTTGGGTATGAGGCATTCATACCCAACTGGATGGGGAACATTCCCTTAAAACTCCAATACTCTAGCTTCTCAGGTTCCCGAGTTAGCAACTTATCAGAAAAAAATTTTGGTGAGACCGTACGTGGGTACCACGCATGCCCGGAGTCTGGATTTGAGCGCAATGAGACTTGGATGGAAGGGAATATCCTCTTAAAATTATAGCTTTTCAGCTTTTCGAATTCTCGAGTTAGCAACTTGCCCAAAAAAAATTTTGGCGCCCTCGTGCATGGGTACCATACATACCCGAGGGCTGGGTTTGGGCAAAAATTGAGAAAAACGTGGACGGGAAACATCTCCTAAAAATTTAGCTTTCTAGCTTTTCTGGTTTTCGAGTTAGTGACTTACCCGCGAAAAAATTTCAGGAGCCCGTACGTGGGTACCACGCGGGCAAGATCGCCCATTTTGGAGACTGGGCCCCATATGTCCATGTAGATCACGCTCCCAAAGGTTCAGCCATGTAGCTTTTGTAGGTCTTGAGGTGAAAAACAATGACAGACGCACACATAAACAAACAGACACGCAGACAAACAGACACGCAGGCGCACAGACACACAGACACCCCCTTGTCAATATGCGTTTTTGCTGTGCAGCACTATAGCAGCGCTATAGCGCTGCTACAGCCAGCAAAAACGCATA